AAGTTTTGATCTGCTGTAGAGGGCCTGTTCTGCTCCTGGACATTGCTCCTTACCTGTCTGTGGCCCCATCCCATCTGCCCAGCCAAGCACTCCCTTCATGGAGACCCCTCTTGTCCATCCTGTCTGGCGCTGCCAGCAGTAAGTGTGGGGCAGTGGTGCCAGGTCTGGCAGCAACAGTAGAGACACTGGCAGCAGCAGCCAGAAGGATCTACTCCCCCCGGGGCTGCCAGGAAGCATAGTCTGGCTGCCATGCTGCCCCCACCTCACTGCTGCACCACACCACAGCTCTACAGACCACAGGTCTTGGCATGCCCGAGAGCCACACACACGGATAGGGTGGGCTCCGCTTTGCACCAAGCAGCACCTTTGTGCCTGAGGGTGGCAGGACCAGCCGCATGTGCCATGGTCCAGGCTGCCCCCTGTGCCTGGGCCGGGTGGGGCCGATGGACGTGCTGTGCGTCGAATAGAATCCCTTGGCAGATTGGATCCGGCCCACAGGCCGTATTTTGCCCACCCCTGCACTGAACTGGGTTAGCTCATCAGAAGTATTCAAAGGTACTCAAAACTTAAAACTTCCATTGAAATTAGCGTAAGAATACCACTTTCTTTATTGTAGTGCTTTAAAAACCCAGTTAGGTAGATAAATAAGAAACATAGGGTGTTCATTCATACCTTTATTCCAGACAAAGTCCATCAAGGGTATCAAGTTGGAATTCTTTTTTTTCTTTGTCATGGTTAATTAAGACAATAAAAATAAAAAGCATGCACTTCTCATGAAGAGCAAGTATCAGAATTAGAAACAGCAGATAGAAAGATTCTGAATTGATTGCCATGTTCCATATTCTTGTCCAAATACTACAGTATAAATATGTCCTGCTTTGAGGACTTTCCCAACCATAGGTAAGAAAATTGGGTTAAATCTGAAGGTTCTTGATTTTTGTTATTTAAAATTCATGTGCTGACATCATACTTTGACATATCCTTGTCATATGCTTGAAGAACCACACATATACCACTATCTTGGAAATAATCTGTTTAATTCCATATTTAAAAAAATATTGCTTTATTGCTTGATATGTATATGTCATACCTAAAGTAAAGAAACATCCATTAGTCTTACATGCATTGATTCATAACCATTTGGTCCAATGTATTATTTTATAGTGGGCATGTCTACACAAGACACTTTACTGCGCAGTAGCATAGTTTACTGCGCAGTAATTACATGCTTCTACATTTGCACACACTTACTGCACAGAAAATTATGCTACTTGTGAGTAAATTTGCTGCCTGCAAATGCAAGCAGCAAATTTACTTGCGAGTAGTTTTACTGCATAGTAACACACGTGTAGCCAGCAGCCCTACCACTGGGAAGCCACCCTGAGGCTAGCCCCAAGCTTCTGGGGCTGGGAACCTCTCCTGCCCCAGGACTGGGCCGGCTCTATGGCAGTCCTAGCCTCAGGCCTTTCAAAGCTTGCAGGTATTTTGAGCCCTGGGGCACACATATAGGGAGCCTGAGGCCACTCCAAGCCCCTGTGTCCTCCCAGGCAGGCTGTAAGCTATCTGTACCAGCCTGCCTGCAACCTGGCACTGCTACCTGGCACTGTGGTGCCAGGCAGCTGCCAAGCCCGCACTGTCCAGGCCTGCAGGCTCCTCCAGGCTCCTGCTAGGCCTGTCAGCACCCAGGCACAGCTGCAGGCAGCTCTTGGCCACTCCAGCTGCTTGCAGCCCACCCCCAGCAACCTGCCTGGAGCCTGCAGGTGACCTGGAGCATTGCCTCACTGCGTGGCTGTCAGTCTCACACCGTGCCCCTGCACTGGACACTTCTAGCACAGGGACAGCTGCACGGAGGCCCAGAGAGCCGGCACAGGAGCTCCAATGCTCTCACTCTTGCCCATGTCCATACCCATTACCTGGGGCCCCAACTGGTCACAGGAGGACACTGGTGAACTTGTGATACTGTGGGGCAAGATGGAGGTGTAGTGCCAGTTCGCGCAGGGCAGGAGCTCTGGCATCCATATCTGTAAGGGGCTATCAGGCCAGATGTAGGAGCACAGGCACAACCAGTTGGCACAGTAGTGCCATATAAAGTTCAAGGCCTTGTGGGCACTGTGGGTCACCATCACTGACCACAATTGTTGGTGGGGAAGTGCCCAAAAGTCATTGCCCTTTATGTGGCAACTGACAGAGATCCTCATGCCCTGGGATCCAGGCCATAGCTGTGCTGTGTACAGCAGCATGGGCAGCCTGTCCAAGCCCTGGCCTGGAACCCATGCTGATGTGTCAGTGCAGGGGGGGACCCTTGGGTGCCAGCAGCCCATTTTGCTGAGTTCCTTGCCTGCAGCCAGCACCAGCAGCTCAGGGAACCTGGACCAGTGCCTGCCACAACAGCTTCGCAGCCTCAGCCCCAGCCACAAGGCACAGCCAGTGGCTGCTGTCACTCCTAGGCAAGCCCCTACCCACCAGACGCACTGTGGTATGTGCATCCAGGATACTGGCCTCCTGTCCATGTGCTCTGCCCCCTAGGCACACCCCATTGCCCCCCCCCCACCCTTGGACAACACACAACCACATTCTAAATACTTTGCACAAGGAAGAAGGTGTTTCATTGTTGGTGGGTGGGGTGGGTGGTGGAGGGGCTCTGTTGGTGGAGAGGAGAGAGGAGAGCTCTGTTTCTTGAGGAGGAAGTGGGGGTCTGATGTGAGGGGAATAAAAACTTGTTCTTCTGAGATATGTCTGCAATGAGCGTGGGGATGGGGATGGGGGGGTGTGTGCGGAGGGGGGGTGGTCTATGAGTGGCTGTCCAGGTGGGCTACAGCAGGGAGTATAGGAGGAGATGGTCAGCCAGTGCCTCTCGTGCCCAGTGCCCTGGGCCAGGCATCCTCCATCTGCCATACCTCCTCTTCCCAGGCCTCACAAAAGAGCTCCCTGTGGGCCTCACAGACATTATGCAGCATACAGGCTGTAACAATAACCTGGGGGAGGTTGTCCTCGGTGAACCTGTGGCAGGCAGTGAGAGTGTGCCAGCGTCCCTTGAGGCAGCTGAAGGTGCACTCCACTGGGGCACAGGTCTGGCCCAAGCACTGGTTAAAGTTGGCCTGGTGGGAATCCAGCTGGCCAGTGTAGAGTCATATGAGCAGGGCAGGAGCAGGTAGGTGGGGTCCCTGATGAGGAGTGGCAGGACCACCACAGCAGTGTGAAGCAGTCACTCTGTACCAGGGCTAGCAGGGTCAAGTTGAGAAACGTAGGTGTTGTGGGCACTGCCCACCCAGCTGGCACTCAAATTTGTGAAGGTGCTGTGGTGGTCAATGATGGTCTGGAGCACAACTGAGTGAAAGCCCCTCTGCTTATAGTAGGGGCAGTCACTATGGGGTGGGCAGGTGATGGGGATGTGGGTCCCATCCAGGGCCCTGATGCACAAGAGGAAGCCCAGGGCACGGAACCCCACCACCACTGCCAGGGGAGCATGCACCAAGAGCACCATGTACCTCAGCACGTCCCGGAGGGTACCACACACCTGCAGGATGGTCTTCTCAATTAGTGGCTTTGCCCACCCCAAAGAGATGGCCCACATAATGGAGGCTGGGGGGCATGGCCAGCTTGAGCAAGGCAAGGGCCACCAGGTGTCTGTGTGGTGAGGCAACCCCATGTTGGTGTCCTGCCCCTCCAAGTGTGGCTAGAGCTGCCCCAGGAATTCCTAGAAGGTGACCCTGGTCATCCAGAATGCCTCCAGCCACTGCTCATTAGCCCAAATCTGCTGAAGAACATGCAGCCACGAGTCCTTGCTGACACTACCACCTAGTGGGCCCAGAAGTGGCAGGACTTGAGGTCCAGGAAGGCAAGGGCGGCCCCAGCGGCGGTGTCCAGCAGCCTGTTGTTAGTGTCCCTGCTGGAGTCCAGGCAGCTGGATGGGGTCCAGGCAGCTGCATGGTGGCAGTGGCCCTAGGACAGTGTGCTGCGGTCAGGCAGGCAGTTGCTGCGCGTGGGGGACCTGGGAGGCTCAGACAGTTGTGGGCCAGCCGGTGGTCAGCACAGCAGGCCAGCAGAGCCAGCAGGAGCACAGGGTGCTGGTCATCACTAGCAGGGGCTGAAGCAGCCATAGTTAGGGTGGCCATCATAGAGGACATTCCAGTTGTCCTCTGTCCTCAATTGATATGAAACCAAACAAAACTCTATTTTTCTCTTGAAGAAAAATATTGAAGAGAAAAATGAGGACATAAAGCCATCGGGTTTCGTATCAATAGAGGACAGGGTAGCAGAAAACCAGAATGTCCTCTATGATGGCAACCCTAGCCATAGTGCAGGGAGGCAGAGGTGGCAAGGAGAGAGCTGCCATGTGCTGCTGCTGCACCGTGCACACTGCTCCTGGCCAGGGAAGTGGCTGACCAGGGAGCAGGGAGTAAAGCTAGCTTTTCAAGATGGCTGCTGGATGCTGGCAGCTGCAGCTGGAGGCTCGATCTCCCCCCTGGTGGCAGCTGGGGCTCATTGCAGGACCACAGGAAGTGACAGCAGTTTGCTGCTAAGAGCAGCAAATCTGCTGCCACATCCCTGCACATGTAGACGCCTACCCAGGAGTGTTTACTCGCAAGTAGTTTACTTGCAAGCAAACTGATCTCAGATCAAATGCACATGTAAACATGCCCAATATTATGAACTTTGTATTGTACTGGCATTATATGTGTTGTATAAATGGTTTTTGTGCTTGCTTTTTATTAAATATTCCACTGAGCCCTATATTAAGCTCTAATGACAGTGCCAGTATCCTCAATTTAAACCATTTAGTATTTTGTTTAATAAATGGAAAGAGGGAATTATATGAATGAATCCCCATAAAAATGCAGGTTATATTCATAAACCTTCTGTCCCTTCATTGTAGTTTAAGTTCCTGGAAAGGCAAGGATGATTACTGATTAATTTACAGCAGTTTTAAGTTGCATCAGATTGTGACCTAACTTATCTGACCCATTTTTCTAACTGCCTTTTCCTTTTCTTTTCCATAGAATATTAAACTGATTCTACAAAGGGTTGAACAAATGCAATCTACAGACGGAGAGACCACAACATCTAAAGACATTAAAATATGAATAAAATGGTTTTTTTACTATTAATTAAATATTCCAAAGGTTTTTGTAAGAATCAGTCCTTCAAATCTTACTCACATAGAAAGGACTATTCACTTGCAGGTTGCAAGATAAAACATTAAAATAATTAAATATATTGTATGCTATATATACTGTGCTTTTAATAAATACTTCTTAATTAAGGATTTTGTCTATTTCTACTTAAATATTTTGATAATACTTCTAAATAAAGTGGAGCTGATTTTTTAGTTGAATACATATAATAGAGCCAATAGCAATTTTTAATACTGTGTTTTCCAGTATATAAGACACCCCTCAAAAGGATTAAACTGTGAGGGGAGAGTTTTAACAGAAGTTTGATTGATTTTGGGCAAATTCTATTGCAATAATTTCATTTATTTTCCATTATTATGCTTTTTAGGGGAAAATGCATATTAATACATGGGACAATAGAGTCCACTGTAGAGGGGATAGCACATGCCATTTTTGTATGCAAGATAATGACTTTTGCTAGTATTTATAGTATTACAACACAAACATGCTGATATGTATTAACATAATATAAAATATATTTTGCAATTGCTAGTTAATAAACTGATAATGTAAATAAATATTTATATTTTCTCAGTTAAACTTGATGGATGAATACAAAGTGTATATGAAAATACAGTTTATTGGTACTAGCTGAGATGAACCCTTGTTACTTAAACGTGCATAAAATCATTAGTGCCAAACTTGGTCAGACCAATGGTCCATCTAGCCCAACAATGGTCCATCTAGGTACAACAATGGCAATAGTAGATGCTCAAGAGGGAGACCACATTAACAGGACCCATCTAGAGTATGTAGAGTGACACATCCCCTGTCATCCATCCATGGCATCAACTATCATAGGTTTAAGAATGTTAAAGGATACATCCCTGACTGATCTCTTTTACAGCTTCCAAGGGTCCTATTCTCCATTAATTTGTCTAACCTTTTTTTCAGCTGGTCATACCATCTGCCTCTATAACCTCTTGTGGTAACAATTTTCGCAACTTAACTACACACTGGAGACGTCTACATGAGACACTGACTGCACAGTAGCCCATGACTACTGCGCAGTCATGCAGTAGTCATGCACGCAGTCATTGCATGGCAGGAAGCATGATGTGACACTACTGTGCAGTGGTCACGAGCTAGTGCACAGTTAGCATCTTGTTAGCACTTGTTTATACAAGTAATGGCTGCGCAGTCAGTGTCTGATGTAGATCCGGCCACTGGGCACATCTACACATGTGCTTTACTACAGAGTTGACTAATTAGCTCCATAATAAAGCATCATATGTGCTGGTATAAGCACACAGTAAATTAATTAACTCCATCATAAGATACTACTGTCAGCAATGGTGCTGTCTGATGGCAGAGTAATTAACTGCTGTCAAATGCTTGTGTGGATGGTGCCCACCAGGCACAAATTGCATCTGGTCAGCTAAGGCAGTTGGGGGCCAGACCCCTAGCTCCTGCCAACCCCTTTGCCACCTGAGGTCAGAGCCTGTATCCCCTGCCAGTCCAGGGCAGCTCTGCCTCAGCAGAGCTGCCAGTTCCAGGCACAAACTGCTCTGGACTTTATCGCATTGCCTTAATAGTACGTGTAGATGCACCAACTGTGTAAAAAAGTACTTTCTTTTGTTTGCTGTAAACTGCCTCAGTGGGAGCCCCTAGTTCTTGTTTTCTGGAACTTCATAAATAACAGTTCCCTATTTACTTTATTCATACCCTTCATGGTGTTATACATTTCTATCATATTCCCCCTGAGCCTTCTCTTTTAATAAATTTCATAGATTTCATAGACATTAGGGCTGGAAGGAACCCTGTGAGATCATCGGGTCCAGCCCCCTCACAAGGGGCAGGAAGTCAGCTGGGATCAATCTTACCCCACCAAGATAAGCATCCAAGCATTTCTTAAAGGTATCCAGAGTAGGTGTTTGCACTACTTCTGGAGGGAGTCTATTCCAGACTCTGGAGACTCAGACAGTAAAGAAGTTTTTCCTTATGTCCAGTCTAAAACGGTCTTCCAGCAGTTTGTGACCATTAGACCTTGTCTTCCCTTGGGGTGCCCTGGTGAACAGATGTTCTCCTAGTTCCTGATGCACACCCCTTATATATTTATAGGCTGCCACCTATAAGTCACCCCTGAGCCTTTGCTTCTCCAAGCTGAAGAATCCCATGCCTCTCAGTCTCTCCTCATAAGGCATGTTCTCTTGACCTCTAATCGTGCACGTGGCTCTCCTCTGGACTCTCTCAAGCTTCTCCACATTCTTTCTACAGTGTTGGGGCCCAAGGCTGAGTAAAGCAGGAGGATGACTTCTTGGGTCTTGTTTGAGATGCATCAGTAGATGCAAGCCAGAGTTTTATTTGCTTTGCCAGCTGCAGCATCACATTGGTGGTTCATGTTCATCTTGTGGTCAATCATGACCCCCAGGTCTGTTTCAGTCATGGTGCTAGTGAATGTAGCACTGCCAAACCTATAAATATGATGTGGGGTTTTTCTCCCAGGGTGAAGCACCTTTCATTTCTCCATATTGAATGTCATCAGGTTTTGATCTGCCCACCTTGTGAGCCAGGTCGGCCTGAATTGCCATGACCCCTCCTATACAAGGTATAGCCAACAATACCTGTGTTCTATGGTCCAGTCATAGGTGGAATCCCACCAGGTCTCTATTGTCCCTATGAGATCATATTCATTTTGACTTAGCAGAAGGGCCAGTTCCTCCTGTTTGTTCCCCATGATCCTGGCATTTGTGTACAGGCAGCTACGCCTGCCAAAAGAAGCCTTGGGTTTCCCTGTCCTCTTAGAAGAGTCCTGTCTTTGGGCTGGGGTAGGAGTGAGTTCCCTTGTGTTACCTGACCTGCTGATTCTGTGGTTGTCACTTCCAAGGCTTGCACTTCCAAGGCTTGCACTGGTGATTGTCCACCCATCCCCCAGCAATCTTAGTTTAAAGCCCTGTCAATCAGGTCAGCCATTCTGTCCTAGAAGAACTTCTTTCCCATTGGAATGAGGTGGAAGCCATCCCTCCCCCACAAACTGCTGCCTCTCTCTCTGAAGTGTGGACAGTGATCAAAGAAACCAAAGACTTTGTGATAGCACCAACACCGCAGTCTTCTATTGACTTCTTCAATACGTCTCTCCCTCCTGTGCCCGTGACCTGTAACCAGAAGAATTGAGAAGAAAACTACTTGTGCCTTCAACCCTCTGAGCCCAGTCCCCAGAGCCCCATAGTCACTCATGACCTGGCCAGGTTTGCTCTGAGCCGTGTCATTCATGCCCACATGGATGAGGAACATGGGATAGTGATGAGAGGGCCAGATGCATTTAGGAATCTTCTCTGCCACATCCTGGATATGGGCCCCTGGGAGGCAGCAGACCTCATGGGCTGGGGGTCAGTATGGCAGATCACTCCTTCTGTCCCTCTCAGAAGGGACTCTCCCCCCATGACCATCCTGTGTCTCTTCTTAGGGGTGGCAGGTAGCTGCCTCTCCTCATCCAGAGCCAGTGCTTCTGCTAATGTTTCTGCTGGTGGTGTGAGAGATGCATACCTGTTGCTCAGTTCCAATGGAGGAGTGGCCCTGTTACTGTGCGTCTTGGGACACAAGGCAACCATCTTCCAAGCATCCCCCAGGTGCAGCTCCTGGTTGATCTTCCTGTTCACACAGATTTCACACAGACATTAGGGCTGGAAGGGACCTCAGAAGATCATCAAATCCAGCCCCCTGCCCCAGGGGCAGGAAGTCAGCTGTGATCACAGGATCCCAGCAAGATAAACATCCAATTTTTTCTTGAAGGTGTTCAGAGTAGGTGCTTGACCCACCTCTGATGGCAAGCTATTCCAGACCTTGGGGGCTCAGACAGTAAAGAAAGTCTTCCTTACGTCCAGCCTGAAACCATCTTGCAAGAGTTTTTAACCATTCAACCTTGTCATCCCTTGGGCGACTCTGGTGAACAATCGTTCCCCCAGAACCTGGTGAACACCCCTGATAAACTTATAGGTGGCCATCAGGTAGTCCCATAGCTCTCAGCCTGCCATCATAAGGTCTGTTTTCCTGACCTCTGATCATGCGAGTGGCTCTTCTCTGCACTCTCTCAAGCTTCTCCACATCCTTTTTGAATTGTGGAGACTAAAACTGGATGCAGTACTCCAGCTGCGGCCTCACCAAGGCTGAGTACAATGGAAGAATGACGTCCCGGGATTTGCTTGAGAAGTATCTATGGATGCAAGCCAGTGTTTTGCTCACTTTACTAGCTGCAGCATCATATTGAAGGCTCATGTTCATCTGTGATCAATCATGACCCCCAAGTCCCTTTCATCTGTAGTGCTAGCCAGCGTAGCACTGCCGAGCTTATAAGGATGCTGTAGGTTTTTCTTCCCAAGGTGGAGAACCTTGCATTTTTTCATTGCTAAACACCATCAGGTTCTTGTCCACCCATTTCCTGAGCCTGTCAAGGTCAGCCTGGATCACCCTCCTGTCCTCAGGTGTGGATGCTTTACCCCAGAGTTTGGTATCATTGGTGAACTTGGCCAGTCTGCTTCTGACTCCAATGTCTATATCATTAATGAAGAGGATGAAAAATATAGGCCCAAAGACAGAGCCTTGAGGGACCCCACTGGTCACAGCGCACCACGACAATTGACTTTCATCAACCACCACCCTCTGGGTCCTACCACGGAGCCAATTCCCTAGCCAGTGGATCGTGGTGGATCTGAGGCCGCAGTTGGCCAGTTTTGCCAAGAGGAGATCATGGGATACCAGATCAAAGGCTTTTTTTAAGTCAAGATATACAACATCAATCTCCTCTCCCTTATCCAGGTGACAGGTCACCTGGTCGTAAACGGAAATGAGATTGGTCAAGCAAGACCTACCTGCAACAAACCAATGCTGGCTATCCCTCAGGATGTTGTCATTGGCCAGTTCATTGCAGATGGCCTCTTTGATGATTTTTTCTAAGACCTTCCCCAGGATAGAGGTCAGGCTGATGGGCCTGAAGTTTGCTGGATCCACTTTCCTCCCTTTCTTGAAGATAGGCACCACATTGGCCTGAACTCTCTAAGATCCATGCCAGGGGCTGAGCTATGATGCTAGCCAGCTCCTTGAGTACCCTGGGGTGTAAACC